CACCATTCAGCAGGGGTGGCAGGTGCATCTCCCATCTGTAAACTTGACAGTGGACTCTAGATTGCTAACAGGTGTAGCAGGGACCATATACCCAGGAGAGTATCTAACCCAGAATAGCTATGGAATTACTAACAGGGTGAAGGAGTGAGTGAGGATATTTCTAAAGAGCTCACCAGCTAGGGGAAAATACTACACACATACACAGACAAACTAACTCCAAATTCGAATATAAAGAGTAAAACATAAATGGGCCAGACGAGAACCGCATGGCTGGGAAGAGGGTTGAGAAGGTGCTTGAGGATGGGAAGGCCAGTGACTTACTTCGTCTGCAGGTGAATGACTGAAAGCTAAGAGGAACACGGTACTGAGAGATTGTGCTGAGGAAGGGTGACAGAACTCTATAGACAGGGAACAAATGGCTCTTCTGGTCACCCCCAGTAAGCACAGACTCGCCTTAGCCTCTGGGCAAGCACAACAAACTCATGACAAACTATGTACTTTGTAAAATACTGGGAAACATACACAGCATAGAAAACGACTGTCGACAACAACATCCCTGTCGATTCACTAGTGATAAGAGGAAGCTGAAGAGGCAGAGCCACCCCAATCTGTTCATTTGTGCAGGGGCCACCATACAAATGGAGTGCCAGGGGCTCACATTCCTACTGATGATCACATTCCTACTGATGCTCACATTCCTACTGCTCAGTTCTCTTTCTCTACTCTTAGACTGTCCAGTACCAAAAGTAGGAAATGATGCTGTCCACTTTTAGACTGGGTCTTTCTGTATCAATTAATGTAGTCAAAACCATCCCCCATGAACATGCTCACAAACCAACCTCATATATATAATCCCCGGATGAGACTCTCTGCTTCGGTGATTCCTGATGTCTAGATCTAAATTCTAGAAATGTCAAGTTGACAATTGAAAGTAACTATCACAGTTCCCAATCTGTTCACAAAAAATACATTAAGTATGAACCATGTTTCCAGCCACATCCTTGTATACATGGATGTACTCACTGTGCCTAAGAGGACACCTGAAAACTTTCTCATGTGTAAAATCTCACATACACACACAAAACTGGCATGATTCATGTTCTTCATTGCTGTTTAACTCATTTGGTTAAAATGACCCAGATAGCATGAGGAAGCGGGCCATCCCACCTGCTCCTGTCTCTACACAGCCTGTGCACACTGGAAGTCGAAAGGCCAGAAGCTTCTTTTATTTAGAAAAAAATGTTGAGCTGGGCGGTGGTGGCACACGCCTTTAATCCCAGCACTCGGGAGGCAGAGGCAGGCGGATCTCTGTGAGTTCGAGGCCAGCCTGGTCTCCAAAGCGAGTTCCAGGAAAGGCGCAAAGCTGCACAGAGAAACCCTGTCTCGAAAAACCAAAAAAAAAAAAAAAAAAAAAGAAAGAAAAAAATGTTGGCTTGTTGTTTGAAACTGAGATTTAGGAAAGAGCTACTTTACAGTCTTGAATTCCCTGTCATCAGGTTTTTCAGCTTTATTTTATTTATACTAAGATTTGTTCCTGCGGGCTGCAAGAACATATTATAGAGATTCAGCTGTATATTAAAGCTAAACCTAGAAATTTCAAGGCATTTTTCTAGAGGAAGCCATTTATCAAGGAATATTTGGTGTTATTCAGTTTTTAATATTTCAGCTGTCTTCTGCTATGAAATTCTTGTGGGTCCATATACTACTAGACCATATTGGCAAACAGTATAAGCTTCTCAAACACTGATCCACTAGGTAACACTCCCCCACCCCCCCACCCCCCCACCCCCCCCCCCCACCCCCCACCCCCTTAGCCTAGGAGACAGGTGGGCTATAGATGCATAGCTTTGTTTCTTGTGCTAATGAAGCTCAGACCATCCCTTGCCTTCAGGCCTAGTGGCATTGCAGAGTGATTGACTGAGGACAATAGGGCTTTTTGCATAACCACGTGCATTCCAGAGGCAGACAGAGAGTCTCATGGCAAAGAGCGGTAGAACAAGGCTGTAGTGGGTAGCCATTCCAGCTTTGATCTGGAAGTTCCAACCCCCATTGAGACTTCGGCAACTGTCACGCCTACAAGGCGGGGCGAAAGGAGGCGCCTGGGGACCTGAGATCTGGATCGGCAGGCTCTCTCTCTGTTGCGGGACCCTGGACTGGAGAGGTGGACTGAGCAGAGCTCCAGAGAACACCGCTGGACTGCGATACACCTTCCCCAGACTCCGCGACCTACCTATCCCTTAATTTGTAAGTTACGCCATTAAATAAATCTCCTTTTATCTACGTGGAGTGGCCTTAATAATTTCACCAATACAAGGCAGTTTTCTGTGGATGGTAGACAAAGCCGCATGGCTAGAGAGAAGAGAAAAAAGCAGAGATTCTGTAGACGGTCAGGCAGATCTCTTGTAGAGTTTTCTCAGAGCCAGGAGTATGTGGGGGAGGGAAGGGGCTATGGAGCCAGGTGTTAGTAAAGATGGCCCCAAGGGAAAGTGTAGAGGGTGGAACTCAAGTCATTTACACAAGGATATGTTTGGAGCTTCAGGTCAAGAAAGATGATGGACAACACTGTAAATACTGTAGATTAGATGCATGTTTGGGTAACTTTAAGCTGTTTGGCCCAATGGGATATTTACCCCCCTGAGCCTTGTTTATGTTTTTGTTCTTCATTTGTTTGTTTTTTTGTTTGTTGTTTGTTGTGTGTGTGTGTGTGTGTGTGTGTGTGTGTGTGTGTATGTGTGTGTATGTGCTTTAAAAAAAGCTTGTTGTTTTTAAATAAATGAGTCCTTGCCTAACTTGACTCCCAGGAAAAGGGGAGGCTGAGGGAACGGGCGAGCAGCACACTTACCTTTCCTCAGTTCCAGGTTGTCCCTTCTCGGGAGATCTACGTTCCTGGTGGGGCAGGACCCCACAGGAGTAAGGAGCAAGGAAAGAAAGATGCAGGATGAAGGAACAGAGGATGAAGATGAGGTCAAAGGCGTAAGGGCCTAGTTATTACTAGGGCTATGAGGGGACAGGAAAAGGTAGGTACAGAGAGGAACTGAGAGCCAGGGTGGAGCTGAAGCTGTATAGATAGAATTTTGTCTTAGAGGAATAAAGTAAACGGATAAGGAGCATGGTGTATGTAGATTCTTTTCCCTCAGATAACCCCCACCAGAGTAGCATCTTCCCCAGGTCTCTGGGGGGAATTTTCTCAGGGCAAGCCCCAGGGAAAATTCCATTTATTTGTCATCTTTGAATAACAGACATGGACTGGAGGCAAAATCAGTGATTGGTCATCTCACTTTACAGCATAGGGTTTTACAATTTTACCAAGGTAGGACTCGAACTGTGGGCTCAAACAATCCTTCTACCTTGGCCTCCAAAGTAGCTGGGACTATAAACTCAGCCGACCACTCCCAACCAACCCTAGAACCAGAAAATCAGCCTTTTCTAATAAATTTCATCTGCTTAACTTCTGGCTGCCATGTCACATGTTTCGTCTCTGTCATGTATTACGTGTGTATGTATCTCCATCTTCAGCAATAGCATTCTAGCCAGTTCACCAGTAAAGAAAAGAAGCTGAAAAAGCAGAGCTCCCTGGTTTCTTCACTCTTCTTCAGAAACCACCATACATATGGAGTGCCAAGATCACCAGTGACCCCTGCGGGTGATGGCTATATACATACATACATACATACATATACACATACATCTGGATCTGTGCTATCTCCACCTTCTAGACAATACATAGACATTTGGACTCTCTACAGACATAAAACCATGTGGTTTTAGGATGAGAGGAACCTGAGGGTTTCTCCTGAGCTGATGCTTCATTTAGTAAAAGGACCGCCATGGAGCCACTTAACATGACAAGCTCCTTGTGTGCCTTTAAATGGAATTCGATTACACAAATTAAATTCGTATAGATGTGCTCACATTTCCAGGAATATGTCCACTGTATATAATGAGATGAACTTATAACATTATTTGGCTTATCTTGCAAGGGCTATAATGTAAACTGGTAAAACACAAGGCGAACGTCCCGTGGCCATCGCAGCATTAGGAGACTTCACGTGGTTATTGCTATCTGTCCCAGGGCATTTGCACTTCTTCTTCCTCTGCCTACACCAATTACCGTCTTGTTTTTACATCAAATATGTGCACGGCTGAATCTCTGCTTCATCCAGACCTCGGTTCAAATGAATCTCCTCAGAGAAGGTTGGGGGTCATTCCAGCTCAAATAATTCTCCCTTCCACATTCTGCTAATGCTAAGATTTTCTCTTCATGGTACTCATCACTGTGTGGGATATTGGCTCTATTAGTGGCATGTGTGTGCGCACATGCGTGTACACGAGTACATGCTTGTGTGTGTATATATATGTATACAGGTGCAAATGTGCCTCTCTGTGTGTGCCTATGAGGCCAGAGATTTGTGTCAGGGATTCTCTTCAATTGCTCCACTTATTTTTTTATTTTCATTTATGCTTTGGCAATTTCATGCATGAATACAATATATTTAGATTACATTCAGGGTTTTTTTGGTTTGGTTTTGTTTTTAAGACAAGTTCTCTCACTGAACCTGGCGATTGGCAATTCAACTGGACCAGGTAGCCAGAGCCCCAGGGGTTCTCCTGTCTCTGACTCCCCAGCCCCAAGATAACAGGCACACACCACCACACTCATGTAAACAGTTGGATGGGTGCTGGGAATTGAACTCGGGTCTTTGTGCTTACACAGCAAGCACCTTACCAGCGCGGTGATTTAGTAATAAATAAAACTCCTCTTTATTTATTTATTACTAGATGCTCTGACTGAATTGTAAACTTCCCGAAGGCATGGATATTGTTTTGTTTTCCTCTGTTCTCCAGCCACATTTCTGGCTCCTCAAAGGGGCATCTGGAGCATAAAGTCAATAACTATCAAAGGAAAGAACAAAAGATCCAACGAGCTCTCACTCACGCCTCAAGTAGATGCTGGACCTTCAGATGCCTGAGCTGCTCTGCACCTGTGGCCACCTCAAGCAATGCTGCATCTGCAGAGCCCTCTCTCAGACACAGTCCTCCCACTGCAGAGCCCTCCCTCGGACACAGTCCTCCCACCGCAGAGCCCTCCCTCGGACACAGTCCTCCCACTGCAGAGCCCTCCCTCGGACACAGTCCTCCCACCGCAGAGCCCTCCCTCGGACACAGTCCTCCCACTGCAGAGCCCTCCCTCGGACACAGTCCTCCCACTGCAGAGCCCTCCCTCGGACACAGTCCTCCCACCGCAGAGCCCTCCCTCGTACACAGTCCTCCCACTGCAGAGCCCTCTCTCAGACACAGTCCTCCCACTGCAGAGCCCTCCCTCGGACACAGTCCTCCCACTTCAGAGCCCTCCCTCGGACACAGTCCTCCACTGCAGAGCCCTCCCTCGGACACAGTCCTCCCACTGCAGAGCCCTCCCTCGGACACAGTCCTCCACTGCAGAGCCCTCCCTCGGACACAGTCCTCCACTGCAGAGCCCTCCCTCGGACACAGTCCTCCCACTTCAGAGCCCTCCCTCGGACACAGTCCCCCCACTGCAGAGCCCTCCCTCGGACACAGTCCTCCCACTGCAGAGCCCTCCCTCGGACACAGTCCTCCACTGCAGAGCCCTCTCTCAGACACAGTCCTCCCACTGCAGAGCCCTCCCTCGGACACAGTCCTCCACTGCAGAGCCCTCCCTCGGACACAGTCCTCCCACTGCAGAGCCCTCCCTCGTACACAGTCCCCCCACTGCAGAGCCCTCCCTCGGACACAGTCCTCCCACTGTACAGCCCTCCCTTGGACACAGTCCCCCACTGCAGAGCCCTCCCTCAGACACAGTCCTCCCACTGTACAGCCCTCCCTCTGATGCAGTCCTCCCACTGCAGAGCCCTCCCTCGGACACAGTCCTCCCACTGCAGAGCCCTCCCTCGGACACAGTCCTCCCACTGTACAGCCCTCCCTCTGATGCAGTCCTCCCACTGCAGAGCCCTCCCTCTGATGCAGTCCTCCCCACTGTCCCTGGCTAAAGACACATTTCTGCAGTCACCTCTTTTTCTATTGTTTTATTTCCCAGATTCAATGATTAACCATCTTCCCCCTCCTGATTTCCTCAGTTATTCAATAAAATACCTGCCCCGTGTCAGACAGTGTGCAGGAGCAAACAGGAAATGACTAACAAGTACACTGGAGCTGGGACAACAGTGAGTGACCAGGGAGAGACTGGGACCAGAGCAGGGACTGGGCTTTGAGGGATGAATCAGGAGAGCCTGCTGGGCTTGGGAGACCAGGCGTCCTCAGGGGCGGAAGTGGAGGAGTAGGAAGGACAAACAGCATGGGAAAGACATGAGCAGATGAGGAGGGACAAAGCAATAAGTTGAAGTCTGACTTTCTTGTACAGAACAGAAGCAAGTGAGACCACGTGACCACCCACTGTCTACCCATCGCCACATACACGTGTTTCTCCCCCTAGAGTGGGGACATGCAATGCTCGGGAGCTAAGACATGTGAAGAATGTCGGGGTGACATTCCACACACCTCCTCATGTGGGACAGGCTGCCATCTTCCTTTTCAAAGAAGAAGGAAGCAAGCAGCAGACACATGACCCAACAGGCAGTCACCACACTGGTGAGATGTAACCTGAATCCAGAACACCCCAGTGTGCTCAGTGACCTTCTTTGCTCTTATGGAATTCCCACCCCTCACACACATACCCCAGTGCTAGGGACCAAACCCATGGCATTATACATGCTCCCACTGAGCCACACGCCTGCCTATAGCCTCTGAGCAGGAAGCTGAGCAGTGACTCGATTTACCCATCTTTCTTCCAGCATACTCTTTGGTACCTGAATTCGCCATTTCTTCAAATATCCATGCCCTCCAAAAAAAAAGCACGCTCTCTCTCCTCAGGGAGATGCTCTGCCCACCTCAGAGGGGTCATTTTAATCTACTATCACTACCACCCCCATCATGCTACTATCAGTGAGTCAAGTAGACAAGTCAGACAAGCAGGTTTCTGAGCCAATGAAACAAAGGACAAGTATCTTCCAAGGGAACTAGAATCTGGGAGGACCAGGGGGGACTGATGTAGACAAGGAGGGTGGAGCTGGCCTTCAGGGAGGAAGCAGCATGTCTCTGAGAGACAGAAAGCAGAACTGGGCCCCATCTACCACACCTCAGCCCAGCCAGTCTCTCTCCAGGTGCACAGCTCTGAGATCACACTCTCTAAACAGTGGCGTCATCACCCAGCTCCCAGGTCCATGAAGGTCAAATGAGGAAATGTCCACAAAGAGTTCAGCCAGAGCCCTGCACAAGACTGCACTTTACATGGGAGCTTTTCAACAAGAAAAGAGAGAGAAGGGAATGAAAATGTGAGTCTGATGAAGACCAGTTTTTAACTCAAACAACATGAAGGGCCCGTGTCCGTGAAGTGACTCAGGGTTATAAGTCTCTGTGTTTACTTGGTCAGGTCTGAGTGGCTGTGGGACTGGCGGGTGACAGAGATTTGTCCTGACTGTGGGCCAGACAAGAAAACTCAAGCTACAGTTCAAGACTGCCACAAAGTATACAAGCTACACGGTGCACACTGTGCAGCAAGAATTTGTGCTATAGCATTGACCTTCACAACCCAAAGGAGCCCCGGCAGGTCCTCCCTTCGTGTTTATCACACTACTGTAGACATGGCGCTTTTTACTTGAACACTTTTCTGACTCTAAGTGGATTTTATTAATAAGATTACTAGCCTGGCCATTCTGTTGAGACCAGAGCAAAGTAGTCTTTTGTGAAGGTCTGGCACCCAACTACGTATAATGGAAACCCAGGATAATCTGTGCTTGTTCCCATGGGCATGACACAGCCCAACCAGGCCCCCAGCTGGTGGCAGACTGGAGAGAAAGGCTGAATCGCTGACTAGATGGATTCTGTAAGGGGTTCACAATGGCCCACGCAACTTGTCTGAGAACTTCCAGATAAAGATAAGCCTCCCCGAGTTCAGTCACAGCCACAAGTCAATTTTAAAACTATGAGTGTGATACTAAATTTGTTTTGTTTTCTAGACTATGAGCATGGAGAGGTAAGGGAGGGCTCCAGAGTCCCCTGTAGCTCTCCTCCGGCTGGGACATCCCCATCATATCATTCAATGCCTGATTATATAAAAGGAAACCACCCTGTAACCAGTTAAAGAGCACCTAGCATGCATGGGCACTGGGGGTGAGGAGGAGGCGTCATGGTTACGACCGAAGGCAGTAGTGGAGCCAAGGCCGAGTGCCCCCTGCCCTGCAGTGAGCAAGGACAAACTGAGAAAGCAGCATAATGCTGAACAAGCCAGGTCCCATGCTAAACAAGGCTGGCCTCCGACGGCCGTGACTTCCTCATCTGTATTCAGATGCTGGCTTCTCACCTACCGAGGAAAAGTTATTTGAGAAAATGAAAAGTTGGGACATAATTTGAAAGAGGGAATAACAGTTGTGTGGGATGATACCACCTGATCCCCATAGCTCAGGGCCCCAGATCTCATCTTCCTGGAGCCAGTCCCCTCATAAAGATCTAGACCAAGTCCCTGGGCCACACTTCATTCCTAGCCTTGTTTTTCAGTCAAAATGTACATTCTTATAAGAGATAGCAAGCAACTCTTTCAAACAGTGCTCTAAATAGCTTTTGATGGAGAGGGGAACCTCACCGAAGCAAAGTAAGAAAAACAAAGCAGAGGCAGAATGTGCTCACAGAGGAACCTTCAACAGGTAATGACATGTGCCTGGCTGGAGAGAGAGACTGGTCATGGCTGCTGCCATCAACAGCTAGAAGATGGGAAATTATACCAATGATGGAGATGTCTGAAGAGCAGCCACTGTAGGACTGTGAGAACTGAGAAAGGGAAGAGACGTCCAAGCAGGGTTCCTCAGTTGCTGGGCTGAGGATACACAGATATAAATGTGAGCAGTGAAGGCAGCTGGACTCTGTGAGGCAGAGGGAGAACTTCAGAAAACCCACAGGGATCCCTTCACCTGTTGCCAAACACCAAGCTGGCACTAGCGGGGAAAACTCTGAAGGCCCAGAGGCTCTAAAAAGCTGAATACATCCTGTAACCAAAAAGACAGAGAGAGCTTTTCTATCCCCATCTTCAGGGGACCTGCTGCCCAGATGCACATTTTCATAAGGATCCTGCGAGGAAGACCACCCAGCTTGGGGCTGAATCCCTGGATGCTGTAGAGTGCAAAGGCCAAGCTTCAGCATGAGGAAGGGATTCCTCCCAACCAATAGCAAGCCCAGAAGATGGCCATACTTTGTCTAACTACAACATTCCAAAGGAGTCTACCCTTCATCCTGGGTTGAGACTTTGTGGTGGTGCTAAAAAGGATGGAGGAGTCAGACCACTCCCAAGGAAAATAAGCATCAGGTGTTTTAGACAGGCACAGTAACACAGCTTCACAGTTAAACAAATGCAACATAAACAAAAGTAACACATCTTAAAATAATATTCCTCAATATTTGAGCGTTTGCCTGCATGCATATATTTGCACTACAGCATGTCTTGCGCACAAACAGACTAGAAAAGGGCATCAGATCCCCTAGAACTGGAGTTGTAGGTGGCTGTGAGACACCATGTAGGTGCTGGAAACTGACCCTAGGTCCTTTACAAGAGCAGCAAGTGCTCATAACCACTGAGCCATCTCTCCAGCCCCACTAAATATGTTTTTTATTTTTTATAAAGACAAGAATGAAAGAACAAAAATGGAATTTTAGCCATCAAAAATATATCAAAATAAATTTTTTTCTGAATACAGTTGTGTTTATTGGGGTCATGGGTGGGGGGCAGACGACCCAGTAGGAAAGCATTAAAACACAGAAGAAATACGTTTTAGGGAATTGGTTCACACAATTATGATGCTGACAAGTAAAAAACATGCAGGATAGGGCATCAGAGTGGGTGTCCAAGGCACTCATGTTGAAGTCAAGTCCAACAGAAGCCACTTGCAGAAATCGTTCTCAGGAACTCCGGCTTGGGGGAAGTAGGGGTCAGCCCTTCTTCTCTAACCCTTTCGATTAATTATATAAGGCCTGCCTATAGCAGAAGGCAACCTGCCTTCCTCCAAGCCCACCAACTTGAAACTGAACTGTTCACCCCACTCACAAAACAGAGGAATGAATAAACAGTCCAATAGAATGATGTTTGGCCAAATGTCTGGATAGCATATCCCAGCCAGACTGACACATCAAATTAACCACCATCTTTTAATCATATGTTTGATATCACTTGGAAAGGATCAAAGTACTGAAAGATTCAATGATAAAAAAAAACCTCCCTAAACAGAAACACATAAAGGGAAGAAAAAAATGGAATGTTTAAAGGTACCGGAGTCCCTGTGACCAGTGGCAGAAAAGCCAGCAGCAGTCTGCCATTTGTGTAACTAGAACCTCAGAAAGAAGGAACAGGGATAAAGCAGAAAACATCTTTGAAGAATAATAGCCAAAATTTTTTCTGAATTTGATTTAAAAATAAACTATAAACCTACAGATCTCACAAGCTTGATAAATCCCAAGTAATATGACCATGAAGAAAACTTCATAGTGATGTACAATAAAATTGTCGAAAGGCAGTTATAAGAATGTACTGAAGACGGTGGGTCTGGGGGAGACGGGACCTACAGATAAACGAGGTGAAATGATTACAAGGTCAAAAGCAATAAAAGCAAAATGACACTCAAGAGTGAGATTAGTGAATAAATAAATACCTGCTGAGCTGGACTCACACTCTATTGAAAAATGAAGGCAAAGGGCTAGGAATTGCTCAGTGGCCGAGCACTTACTTAACATGTGCCCATGTCTGGGTGCTAGCCCCTCCACTGAGGGGGCAGGGGCCAGAAAATAAAGGCAAAATAATGGCTGTAGAGGAAAAATATAACCTGCATGATTTCATCAACAGTTCAAGAAAAGTTATAGAAAGTCTTGACAAAGAGGAGCATATGAGGTGGACTCCAGGTGTGTGAGCTATTGTGGAGGCCCACAAAGGTTTCCTAGCAAGATCTGACCT